GTGATCAACAGACATGGAGGAGGCGCCAGCGGCCAAGCGATGGAGATGGTCCTGTTCGTCGAAGAGAGCATCCGTGATGGCGGTGTTCTTGTGACAGGGTTTCGATTTTTTTTATTATTTTTTTAGACGAATTGTTGACAGGGTCAGTATTTGCATTAGTGGCAGGACAATTTATCCTATTTGGAAATGGAGATGAGGTCGGTCCTGTCGCGATCGTACAAATCGAACGCATCGCGGAGCTTGGCGGCATCACCGTGCGGCGATTCTGAGCTTGCTATTCTGAGCACACACGGAGAGAGATAGAGAGAGGCGGCAGAGAGATTGTCGTGCTCAATTAGTTAGATCGTGCTGATAACGTGTATATTTTGCAATTCATAGAACAGTGAGAATGCTTGTATATTTTGTTAAACGTTTAACAATTTCAAGAAAGTAGGTGAACATTAACTGAGTTGCCAGTTTTTAAAAGTCAAATTTAAATTTTGAACTCCAAATTTTAAATTTCAAAAAAAGATGAGCTGTGTCCCAACAAAAATGAGAACAAATCTGCACCATTGATTTTAGGTAGCAAATCATGGCCATCAATTTTGAGTCCAGATTATAATTTCTTTTCGAATTTTTTTATTCCCTGAGTTACCAAAGAAGGAAACTTTTTGAATTGTGTAGTGTGAAAGCAAACCTGAAAATGAAAGAGAAGCAGACACGTGTCAGAAGTTGTCAAAGAATGACTTTGTCTTAGAATATAAGATTTATCATATCAAAGCAATTTGAAACATGTGCGGAACACCCACATTATTACGCGTCAGATGCTTTACTGCTCTCTCACGTGAACATCGACAGAAAATTCCTGACCCCAAAATTCATATCATAATAGTTTGAAACATCTTAAATAAGATTCTTAATTACAATATATACATTAGCTTTATTGCAAGACTTTAATAGAACAAAAATTTTACGTCTGATGTTTAACTCTTTAATTTATAAATTTTAAAGTTGACGACTTTAGTTAGTTATCACACTAAAATCATCTCTTCATACAACAGTTGACTCCCACAAATGTCACTTTTCTGTTTTCTCTTTGGATATGTTTGGTATAAGTTTTATTTTGGATTTGATAGGAAAGCGTGGATAGATATTGAAAAATATTATGATTGTTTAAGTTTTTAAAAAAAGAATACTAGGCAAATAGGATGGCTGGGAAACGATTTTGGTCTTGGTTTTTGGGTGAAATTTACTGTTACAAAATACTACTTGAGATGTGGTATTTTGAGATAACTGCAGAAGTAAAAAAACAGGTGCGAAGTTCCTCCCGAACATAGACTTTGCAAATTTAAATAAATTTCCTCGGTAATGTTTCGGTCAACCAAACATCTTTTCTTAAACTTTTCCAGCAAACTGACTTTCCTACCATTTTTCCAATAATTATATTTTCTTGGTAAAAAAAAAATCTTTTACCAAATGTCCTCTAAAGAAAAAGCTTTTGTCTACTGAACATTACAAAGATATAACTAGCTGTTGATCTATTAGTACATGCATGTAAAATATAAATGTTAGAACATATATAAAAATTGAGATAAATAAGAGTTATGTTGTAGGAAAAATAATTTAGTCATATTAAGATATGACAAAACAAAATCATTGAATAAAGTGTCTCATCTCATTTTTTATTATTTTTTTTTTTTGTCTTTTACTATTGAATGATAGGAATTTTCTTCATGTAACATGACAAAATAAAGACCCATAAAAATTATTAATATAACTTTACCCATTAGTTAAAGTTTTTGGATTAAATTGATTCTTTATATGGTATTAGAGTCTCTGTGTTACGGGTTTGATCTGCTCCCACTTTTTCTTATGAAATTTCTTTGGGTATGTATATTATCCATCAACTTAAATTTTTGGGTTGAATTGAATTTTCAGTGTAACTAGTTACTCTTGTAGACTGATTGAAAAGGAAAACTGTAACATCTTCAACAAATGAAAGATGGAAAGATAAGAAGATGAAGATGTGCATGATTATAATCGATATACCGCACATGCTTGAGTCAGAAGTTATATGTTTGTTATGGATACTGGGTTATTATATTGGAATATTGTTCTATATTAGAGACAGAGATGTCTAATTCAATAGATTAGTATGTTGCTATTGGATTTAAGTGCTCTCTTCAAGATATTTATAGATATTTATGGATGAGATATCCTTAAGTCAAGCATATCATTTTACACAGAAGATCATATTAATAAGAATTCTTAATATTCATTAATATTAATAGAAAAATAGACATATAGAATTTATTCGAATTATATTTTCTTAATAAGAAGAGGTATATTAATAATCTAATAAATAATAAATAGAATTCAAATATTCATGAAAATCTTCTATAATTCTATCGAATTTAGAATTGCAATTTATTTGAATTCTATTCTCTAGAAAGATGAGTTAGAAATAGAAATTAATATGAATCTAAAATATTCTATTTAGAATAGAAAAATTTAGATTAGAAAGATATATTGAAATCAATATATATTTCAACTTTATTTTGAATTTTATATAGTATCTATCAGGCCTAGTCCTGCACAAATATAATCGGTATATTACGTATCAAGTACTAAAAAAATGAAAATGCGGATATAGTCGAATGGTAAAATTTCTCCTTGCCAAGGAGAAGACGAAGGTTCAATTCCCACTATCTGCCTACGGCTTTGCCAAAGAGAATGCGTGTGTGCGCACAGTGACGGTAAGAGAGAGCGTAACGTACCTATAGATTTTACCTTATTTATAGGGTTTATCTGTGGGTAGTAGATTCTGGACCTCTCTGATGACAATCCAAGCCCATATGTTATGTTGTCATATTAGGATTGATATCTTTGATGGATATTCTTCCATAGTTATATTTGATTAATATATTGGATTGCCTCTTGTTGGACTTGTCAACTAATGGGCCTTATATATGAGTCTATAACACAATCAATTATATATATATATCAGAAAAATATTTCTGCAGTTAATGCAGATAAGTTATCTGCATTTACTTCTAAAACGATGTCGTTTTGGAATTGAAAGATTAGAAAATTATAATTATAAAGACTATAATAATCTGTTATAAAAAAAAAAGACTATAATAATCCTGAAATAAATTAAAATTGCAAAAATATCATGATTTTTGCCCCAAAACGACGTCGTATTGGACTTACTACAGATAATTTATCTGCAGTAACTGCAGAAAAAACGAACCCTATATATATGAGGAAGGTTATACTTACAACTTTTTTTTTACAACCTCTTACAACCATATCTTAACACCGTTGATTTCCGCCAATCAACGGTTATCATTTATTGGGAATTAATAATTAATTAATGAGTTTAATTTGGAAAATCATAACCGTTGATTGACAGAAATCAACGTGTTAAGATATGGTTGTAAGAGGTTGTAAAAAAAAAGTATAAATATAACCTTTTCATATATATATATATATATATATATATATATATATATATATGGAGAGAGATCGTTTGACTCAAGAGTAAGACTTATACTCTCCATCCTAACCGTTGATTTTCGTCCATCCAACGATTATAATTTAGGAAGTTATATTAATTAATTAATTATTAATTATACTATTAATGACAACCGTTGATTTCCGTCCATCAACGACTGAGATTTGGAGTAAGACTTAAAAGTCTTACTCTGGAGTCAAAAGAACCCTCCCTTATATATATATATATATATATATATATATATATATATATATATATGCCAGTTTGTGTTCACATTGGTAGTTAGGACTTTCAAGATCGATTTATGTTCACATTAGTAGTTTGGAAATTCCTTAAATCTTGTAACAGTGAATTTGAATAAGAAAAACCCACGTGACAACCTCCAAAAAAAAAAAAGAAAAACCCACGTGACATATATGATATCTATTTAAACACAATGAAAAGAAAAGAGATAAGAAAATAAACAAAAAAATAATACTTTTAATATCCTATCACCCATATTATATTTACATGATGTATTCAAATATATTTTTTATTCACTAAAAAATATGATAGTTAAAATCAAAATTTTACCTAAAATCAAAAGGAAGATAAAAAATTGTAGAACGTAAAAAAATCTTAATGTAAAAAAATCATAGAAATTCATAAAAACATAAAAGTATTTAAAATTTTGATGAAATCGTTTTGATTAAAAAAAATTGTCAAATCATAAAAATACAGATTTAAATCGAGATTTTAACTATCATGCTAGAAAACTAATAATCATAGAAAAAGACAACAATTGTAAAAAAATACATAGTCAAACACACCTAAACTAGAGAGGTGTGTGTAGTGTACACGGTGGAGTAAATTTTCATTACAATTGTAATAAAATACATAGTCAAACACTTAATTAACGACCTAAATGTCATGTTTTGTAAAAAAAAAATTGTCAAAATGACGTACGAACAGTACTTTTTATTAGATTATAATGGATTCAAGTTTGTTATCAATTATAACAAACTTAGTTAGATCACGTGATACGTTTTCATTAACATACCAAGTTCACTTTTAGTGATAATGAATTTAGTCCAATCAATTTTTTTCTTACAGTATGCATATGTCATGAAATCATAGACAATTAAATTCTCTATTATTTATTTTGGTACGCTAATGAAAATGTGTCGCATTACATAATCAAGTTCGTTATAAGGTGATAATGAACTTGGACGTGTGTGGTATTCTAATAAAAAGTACTCTTCCCGGAAACATTTGAGAAAATGTGAAACTTGGGTCACTGTTCCCAGGACGGAGAGGCCCAACGTAATTAACGACATTTGGTGAATGTAATATATACTATGATTATTATTGATTGTGGAATGAAAAAGAATAGACCTTTTGAGTCTCCCTTTTCCGTTTCCAATCATATAATCTTTCTGCCTTCCCTCTTAAACTCACTTTCTCTTCTCATAATTTCAACACACCACCACACTCACATTGAACTTTAAACTCTTTCACTCCCACAATGAGCAGCTACCGTGTCTGCGTGTGCTTCAACCGGAGGTTCAAGGTGGCGGAGGCGGTGCCGCCACAGGACGTGCGGGACCTCTTCAACAAGTACTCCGACGGTGGGACCAACATGACTCCCGACCAGCTCCGCCGCTTTCTCTCGGAGGTTCAGGGCGAGGACGACGACGATGACGACCACCCCCACAAGGCGGTGGAGCAGGTGGTGCAGAAGCGCCATCACATTACCAAGTTCGTGAGACACAACCTCACCCTCGACGACTTTCATTATTACCTCTTCTCCCCCGACCTTAATCCCCCCATTGGATCTCAGGTAATCTCTCTCTCTCTCTCTCTCTCACTATCACTTTCATTTAACTCCAAAGCAAGGACTTTTAGTCAACACTGTCTGGTGAATGGTGATGCAATGGATCTTGTTTTTTTGTTTTGTCGTTTTTCGAGAATCACTACTTGATCAAATGTTGTCTTGTTGACGCTCACTTCCCCTTTTCTTTTTTTACTTCTTCTTTTTTTTTTTTTTTCTACTTTTGATGAATCCTTTCTCTTCCAAATTAAGGGAAAAAGTAGAATTTTGCCATTCCTTTTCCTTTTTCTTTTCTTTTTGTCTCGTTGCGTTTCACGCCAGTTTTCTTGTTTCTCCTCATCAATGCTTTCTTTTTGTACTGAATTGAATTGATGATGCTATTTTCGTCTAACTGGCGTTACAAACCCCTTAAGATTTTCAAGTATATGTACCTATCTACCCTTTTTGGTATATCAGAACTAAATTTGGCTCATAGAATTTTCTTTGATTGGTAATTTACCTTATATGGAGCTTTGACTTTCTAGTGATGTTAACCTCTTTTGTTTGATATAATAATTCAGGTTAATCAGGATATGACGGCTCCCTTGTCCCATTATTTCATATACACTGGCCATAACTCCTATCTCACTGGCAATCAACTCAGCAGTGATTGTAGTGATGTCCCCGTTATAAAGGCATTGAATAGAGGCGTGAGAGTGGTGGAGCTTGATATATGGCCCAATTCCACCAAAGATGATGTGCTTGTTTTACATGGAAGGTACTCAAAAAAATAAAATTACTGATCAAGGCATTGCAAAATGGTTGCTGTTGATTTCCCTTTTCTATGTGGCTATCATGCTTGATATGATTATATGAACATGAAAAGCTACTGCTTATGTAAAAATGTATATCATTATGTTTCCCTTTGACAAACTCTCTGGTGGGCTGTAAAGGCTTATGGAAATGCATCTCCTTTTAAGAGTTAAAAGAATAAAAAAGTATGTGTTCTTCAAAACTATCTTAGCTTGATGGATGAGCCATCACAAAGTGTAAATCACTTGAATTTATAGCTATACATTAACGAATCACTTAGATTTCTTGTCCTGTACATATGTTCATATTTTATGTTATAGTTTCCTAAGTACCTGGAACCTGTTTTCACCTGTGAATGTAGGACATTGACAACTCCTGTGGAGCTCATTAAATGTTTGAAATCCATTAAAGAACATGCTTTCTCTGCATCTCCCTACCCAGTCATAATAACTCTGGAAGACCATCTTACACCAGACCTTCAAGCTAAAGTTGCTAAGGTAATTTGTTAGTCTGAAAGTAGTAAATCACTAGGGTTCACAAAAATGTGGAATTAAATCATTATGCTGTTTTTGTTAGATGATTACTCAAACATTCGGAGACATGCTGTTTTGTCCAAATCATGAAAATTTAAAAGATTTTCCTTCACCTGAAGAATTGAAGTATCGGATCATGATATCAACAAAGCCTCCAAAAGAGTACCTAAAATCTAAAAGTGCTAAGGAAAATTCCAAAATATTGCTGAAATCAAAGGATTCTGATGAAGATGAATGGGGAAAGGAGGTCACTGGTGTTGCAAAAGCCCAAAACGAAGATGATCTGGTGAGCTAAGAATTTCACTTTACAGCAGTCTCTATTTGTTCAAAGATAATATACTTTTCCTTTTGTCTTCTGATACTTTGTTCTATTTTCTTACAGGGTGACTTTGACTCAAATCAACAGAGTGATGATGATGAGTCAAATGAGGATGATTCTGAAACAAATCAGCAGAGTGATTATAAGCGTCTAATTGCTATTCATGCTGGAAAACCCAAGGGCAGTTTGAAGGAAGCATTAAAAGTTGAAAATGATAAAGTTAGACGCCTTAGCTTAAGTGAACAAGCCCTTGAAAAGGCTACTGAGTCACTTGGAACTGATCTTATTAGGTAATATCTGGTTTCTTAACAAATATCAGATATACTATTCTACCATATCTATACAAATGATCTACTACTTCTTTTCCACTTTTCAAAAAAACTTTTCAGCAATCTGATTGTAATGCTTTCAATTTTGTATATTAGATTCACCCAAAAAAACTTTTTGAGGGTGTACCCCAAGGGTACACGGGTCAACTCCTCCAACTACAAGCCTCTGGTTGGCTGGATGCATGGTGCTCAAATGGTTGCATGCAATATGCAGGTTTTCAATTTGTGTTTCACTTTTTCCCCTTTATTCCGAATGGCAACATATATAGTGCACTTTTAGTGTCACAGAATAGACTGTTCAAGATTATTTTTTTCTTGTTTGTGTCTTGAAAATTTATTTATCTTATTACTATATTAGTTATTCTTCTGTAAAATAACTAAAGATGATTTAAAATTTGCATCTGTAAAATAGACTGTTTCACTTATCTTATTCAATGACAACATGGTGCTGAAAATTGCATAGTGATGATTTAAAATTTCTTAAAATTTGAACATCAATGCATCTGAAGTTTCAATCCATTCTAAATTTACTGCAACATTATTATTGTGTATATAATTAGGTTACTTTATTGTTAAATTCAAATTGAAAGATCAATGTTTCTCCTTCTTTCATCTAGACTGATTCTTCTTTAGGAGGTTAATTTGTGTTAATGCTTTAAACATCAGATTATAAGTCTTTGTTCCAATGGCAGGGATATGGCAGAAATCTTTGGTTGATGCATGGAATGTTTAGATCCAATGGGGGATGTGGTTATGTCAAAAAGCCAGACTTTCTTATGAACGTAGGTCCAAATAATGAGGTATTCAATCCTAAAGATGAGTTGCAAGTGAAGAAGACTCTAAAGGTAAGAATATTGTCAAAATGAAAAGAATTAGAAAATGTGCACTTCCTTACATTGTATTTAATTTAATCTCTAGGTGAAAATATATGTGGGTGATGGATGGCGTCTGGATTTCAAACAAACTCACTTTGACTTGTATTCTCCGCCAGATTTTTATGCCAGGGTAAGATTTTTATTTTATTTTTTAATCATCCTCAACTTGCAACACAACTCCTTATAAGCTAATATTTGTTGTCATTTGTTATTTTATGTCAATAGTGCTTGTGTGTTTGTGTTAACTTATAAGTCAATTTGTGAGGCAGGTTGGTATAGCTGGAGTGCCAGCTGATGTGAAAATGAAGAAAACGAAGATAAAAGAGGATGAATGGATACCTACTTGGGAAGAAGAGTTCACCTTCCCTTTAACTGTTCCAGAACTTGCTTTGCTCAGAGTGGAAGTGCATGAATATGACATGTCCGAAACAGATGATTTTGCAGGCCAAACTTGTTTACCAGTCACTGAATTGAAGCAGGGGATCCGCGCAGTTCCACTATATGACCGTAAGGGAGAGAAGTACAACTCAGTTAGGCTTCTTATGCGATTTGAGTTAATTTAAGCTGTTCTTCTCTACGAGAAGAATTTTGGTGTGGACCACCATTAATTCAGTGGTCCAAACCAATCAAAATGAGACAATTATTGAAGAGAGAGGAGAGAGCAAAAATAAAAAATAAATTTTTGTACAAATGTCACTCACTGAATGAAAGGACCACATAGGACCTGGAGCACCAAAAAAATTTCCCTTCTCTACTTGGGTATATTTGAACAGTAAAAAAAAAAGAATGTTATAGCTTGCTTACCATGTCAACTTTGTTTTTGCTTATTCTCTTTTTTTCTCGCTGTATCTAAATCAGCTGGACTTCGCCTAAGCTTTCAACAGATGTATATGTTTTATAACTTATTTATTTAATCTGTAATGTGAGAAGCCAAAACCTGAGGCAATAAGTTTATGATCGTTCTACTAATAGAGTTTTCTCCTTGTGTATTCCATTTTAATGGAAAACTATTTTAACTTACGGATTCACTTGAAAGTTATAGTTGAGTCATGGAAAATGCTCCTCATTTGTTTAAGGATTTAATCCAAAAGACTTTTACCTCTTTATGGAATCTAAGATCTATATCCTTCAAGCCATGCATTGGTTTTGGATGGACTTGTCAGCACTGTTGCTGGACAGAATCTATACATGTAACTTTATAATTATGCATGCTAATCATAGTTTAACTATAATAACAAAGTTGTCCCTCTCCTACATCAAATAGAAGGAACTTAGTTTGAATTGTTACGCCATTGAACCACGAGTAAAAGGTACACCTAAATTGTTATATTTATATAAGTCCAATTCCTTTTTCTCCTTTGCACTCAATGTGAATGTTTTTCTTCTCTATAGCTTTACCCACACATCACACTGAATATTCTTAACGTTTAGTTAGTTATTCATTGCTACTTTTATTTCAAGGGAAAAGTAGTGTCTCCTGATGGGGCTTGAGATCCGTTACCTGGAGATACTTCTCATCGAAATGTATCATAAAAGAAAGCACAATGCATGAACTCAAGCAATCTCTTTCTTTGTTTCAGAGATAAAGTTAACAAAAACAACATATACTTTCACTGTTTTGTACATCTTCCTTGTGAATGTTGTATGAGTATAAATTCTCACTATGGCCTTATAACCCATTCCTAACAATTTTTAAAACCCCACATCTTTCTTCTCTGTGTGTGTGTGTGTGTGTCTCCCCCTCAAGAGACATTATTAAGCACTAAATAATGGCCTACACAACTAGTTTTAGACAGGCCTCAGGGAAGAAAATGTTTAAACAGCACTTCAAAGTGTGCTTTTGTTTCAATAGAATGTTTAGGCTAAAGGTGGCTGAACCTCCAGAGGAAATCTACAATATTTTTGATAATTATTCACACAATGGAACCATGAGCATGGATGACCTGTGCATGTTTTTAGTTGAATTTCAAGGAGAAAAAAGTGAAGATGCTACCTATAGACATGTTCAAGCCATTTTTAACCGTCTCAAGCATCTCAATATATTTCAAAGGAAAGGCCTTCATGTTCATGCCTTCTTCCGTTATCTCTTAGATGACCTTAATGGTCCCCTTTCTGAGGTATATATATAATATTTGTTGTTTGAAGAGTTCATTGTAATTTAAACTTAACTAATGTTACTACTGAATTACATTTTTGGAATCATTTAATTTAACCTTATGGTTTTCTTTTTAAGTTCTATCATATTCTTGGGGTGTTTTGGGCCTGCAGGTGCGCCATAACATGAATTTCCCATTGGCCCATTATTTCTTGTACACGGGCCACAACTCCTACTTAACAGGAAATCAATTCAGCAGTGAAAGCAGTATTTCCCCAATAATAAAGGCATTGAAGAAAGGAGTTAGAGTAATTGAGCTTGATTTATGGCCAAATTCCAGAGAAGATGATGTGCAAGTTCGTCATGGAAGGTATGAGTTTGGTTTTCAATAGCATACTACCTGGAAAGATACTTTAAATTTTCTAGTATAATAATGTGATCTTAGAAAATAGTTATCGTAATCATGAGGTGAGAAAATGGTTACATGAAAAATGAAGAAATGAAAATTAATGATTTAAATTTGTGTTTGGATTAGTTTATTGGGTTGGCTTTTTTTGCAGTTACTGCATATAAGTTGTCTGCAGTAAGCTCAATACGACTTCGTTTTGGGACGAAAATCATGGTATTTTTGTAATTTTAATTTATTTCATGGTTATTATAGTCTTTATAATTATAATTTTCTAATCTTGTAATCTCAAAACGACATCGTTTTAGAAATAAATGCAGATAACTTATCTGTATTAACTGCAGAAATATTTTTCTAGTTTATTTTAGAGGGGTTTTTCTTCTAACTTTTTGATAGAGCTTTTGAAAAAAAATATAATATTTCTCAAAAAAAATTACTTAACATGTACTAAATTCCCGGTCACCCAAGGGTTGGGGGTCAACCCAATAACATGACTCGGCCCAATCTAATTTAGGTTGGGTTCGAGTTCTCTAAACCTGGTCTAGTACTACATTATATTTAAAAAAAAAAAAATCATGATAAATCATAAGATTTTTTTGAATAAATTAATATATTTACACATAATATAATGATAAATTTATATTCTTAACTCTATATAGTATTTAAATTTATACATTTAGTCTAAACATCACATTGACTCAATTCTGACTCATTCATTAGTCGGTTCGTTATTGGGTGGGATCCGAGTCAAAAAAAGATATAAGAAAAAAAAAATGAACGGATCACAACAAAGTTCAGACTACTGATTTCATCCTTACCGACCACTGCCCTTGGGTCTCTTAATTTCTAGATTTTTCTCAGGTTGCATTTTATGTTATAATTATTTAATTTTATGTTTTAGTCAATAATATGATCTAATTGTAATTTGTTTTTCACGCCCTATTTTATTATTGATTTGAATTTGAATCTGTTGTCTCTTTCGTGTTCGAATTTCTTGGACTGCTATTTAATACTATGTGGAGGTGTTCTTTTTATATATGCCATTAATTTGTTGATATAGAAAGAACAGAATAATTTTATTTCAAACATTTAGGTTATTTATTGTCTAATGCTTTATGGGAATATATATATATATATATATAGAGGTTTTAATGTTTACGTTTTTGCTCTGTAAAAAAAGTTTATCTGCCACACTCAAATAAGAGTGAGTGAGTCCTGTTATAAAGAAAAGAGAGAGAAAATATTAATGAAATCCACTCATTTATACGTGAGTGTGGTAAACAAGCTTTTTCTAGAGCGAAAAATATACCAAGGATAAATAATTTTGCTATACTTAGATTAACTGATCCAAATGTTTTGAACCTACATGTATATGTGTATCTACCCTTCATTTCATGCGCAGTGCAACTTACAACGTTGATGTAAGTATGTAACTGAAAGTAATTGAGTTTCTTTATATCTGTAGGACTATGACTACTTCAGTGAAACTCAAAGCTTGTTTGAATGCAATTAAGGACTATGCATTTTATGCCTCTCATTATCCTGTTGTTATAACTTTTGAAGACCATATAACTCGATCCTTTCAAGCCAAAGTGGCCCCAGGTTGGTAGAACTCATTACATGAATCAGGCATTATCATGGTTTGAAATGTAAGAACATTTTTTTAGTTAAGATAAATTTGAATGTAGATGGTCAATATCATGTTTGGAGACATGTTGTTTTGCCCTGATTCACAACAAATGGAGCAATTCCCTTCTCCAGAATCACTGAAAGGAAAAAAATTTATTTCAACTAAACCACCAGAGTCTCTTTAAGAGGAAGAAGCGCATAGACTTGAGGACAAAGATGACAGATTTGGGGTAGGTGATGTTGAAAATCTATATGGTCAAAATGATTTGATTTCATATATATATTTATAGTAGTTTTTCTTAATCTGTTCTTATTTTCATATGACTCAGTCCAATCCCAACTAGTTTAGGATCAAGGTGATGTTGATGATTATGTTGAGTCACTGTTTTCTATTTAGCTGCATTCTATTGTCTTTTTGCCAGCAGGATGATTCTGATGAGCAGGGTGAGGAGGATGAGACTCTTGAATATAGGAATCTGATTTCCATTCATGCAGGGAAACCAAAAGGTAAGTTAGAGAACAGTCTAATTGTTCATAATCAAGTCAGGCGTCTCAGTTTGAGTGAGCAAGAGCTTGAAGATATCACCAAAACTCATGGAACTGACATTGTCAGGTGATTTTTTTATATTTTTTAGTGATTCTGAATCTAAGTTCATGCATGTCCTTTGTTCTTTTTAGCATAAAACTTAAGTGGCTTTTTATGATCGTGCTAGACATGTTATAGTATTTTCTTTTACCATATTGTTCATCATCATATATAATAATTGATATATTGTTCCATGCTTTAGATTCACCCAAAGGAATTTGCTTAGAATATATCCAAAGGGTATGCGGTTGGACTCATCTAATTACGACCCCATGACTGGATGGATGCATGGAGCTCAAATGGTAGCATTTAATATGCAGGTTAGACATGGTTTTCCATCTATATGGCAATTAAGAATTGGAAAACATGCGATCTGCATTTGAACTGAATGTCCCATCCCATCCTTGTTTCCTTGCAATTCTTTTTCCTTAAAGGGACATGGGCACTATCTTAGGTACATGGAAGGAATGTTCAGAGCCAATGGTGGTTGTGGTTATGTAAAGAAACCAGATATCTTGTTGAATGTTGGCCCCAATGGTGAGGTTTTTGATCCTAGAGCAAGCCGACCAGTTCAGACAATTCTGCAGGTGAAGGCAATGTGGATATATCTATTCATATTTGAATCTACAAAAATTATCTTCCTTTTTATATACTTGAACAAACTCTAATTAATTCAACTATGATGACAAAGCAGGTTTTGGTATACATGGGTGACGGGTGGCGTTTAGATTTCGGCCCAACACACTTCGATTTTTACTCTCCTCCTGATTTCTGTGTAGTGGTATATTACTTTTGATCAAGATGGAAAGATTTAACATTTAATCCTTGATTTTTTGTAAGAGTAATCCTTTAAATGTTGTTGAAACTGTGATTAACTATTCTAGGAAAGTTACTTTAAAATCTCACCTAAAAGTTTGAGCTTAAGAGTGAAGGTTCTGAATTTCATCGATAGTTTTTATATTATATCTCTGTAACACATATTCTCACGCAAAAGTCTTTTGTGTAGAACCAAAAAATAGATCCGTGCAATATTTACGTTCTAAGTCCAAAGGACTCTTGCATAAAGGATATATTAGAGAGATATAATATAAAGGCCTATCACTTATAACTTAAGCTTTTGAATTGAATTGGTTGTTTGCGATTACCCTCCAAAACCACTAACAAATTCTATGAGCAAAAACCATTCACTACTTAAGTTTAGGTGGTATCGATTTTAACAATATTTGATATCATCCAAACCCAGTAACGGTATCTATGACCATGAAACCTCAAAAACATAACTTATGGATTAATGATGTACATGTGCATGCAGGTTGGTATTCATGGTGTCCCAGATGATATAAATACCAAAACAACTAAGACAATTGAAGACGAGTGGATACCAATATGGGATGAACAGTTCAGCTTTCCATTAACTGTTCCAGAATTGGCCCTTCTGCACATTAAAGTTCAGGAGCGTGACTTTTCTAAAAAACATGATTTTGGCGGACAAACATGTTTACCTGTTTCTGATATAAAAGAAGGCATCCGTGCAGTTCGCTTGCATGACCGCTGGGGTGAACCTTACAAGTCTGTAAGGCTTCTAATCCATTTTCAATTTGTTAACAGCACTGCATAAAAATCTATCTTCTTGTGTTATTTATGCGGTTATGTTATCACGGCCATAACACCATTTCCATATAAAAAAGAAAAGATAAAAACAATGTTACACTTTTCCTATAAAATGTACTGTTGTATATTCATGCAATATGAACTATGAATGATTTGATTTGTTTGATCGTAAAAAATCACTTCAACTCAATATCCAAAATTTTAAAGTGTTAGGTGATGGTCTTTTTAATGGTTTATATTATTTTCTAACACATTTTTCCTTTGTGCGAGCTTTTTGTGCTTGAAGCGTAGGTCAATTTTTGATTTAACTTGTACTTATTTAATTCCACTACAAAGTGATGTGGAGTGAAAAAAAATTTAATAGTTTATATTATTCTCTAACATTAACTCTTTTACTCATAAAGAGACTATGCTTTATAATTTATCATAGGTTCGATAAAAATATAAGCTCCCATTAATCGTGGGCTAATGGGGTTGGCTCATTGGTCAATCTTTTACTTAACATGATTGCATGATTTAAGTTGGAATTCGAAGTTATGAGTAATGCATCATCTAATTACAAACCTTCATTGAAATTAATAATTTTTATCACACTCAAAATACCTTTTAATTACCAAAAATTAATTAAAATGATGAACATAGATAAAGAATCTCAAAATCTGTCCTTTGCCTCAACTTTTTTTCGGACTAAATATCATTTTCGGTTCTCGGTAAATTTTACTATGCCCGCTTTAGTTCCTAGCAAATAAAAAGGTTATTCATGGTCACTAAGAAATTTAAAGTGGACCCAATTTAGTCCTTTTGAGGGACTAATGTGGGTCTTTTTTGAATTTGTGAGAGACCACAATTTCAACTAAATAGGTCAATTTTGAATTTCTTAGAGACTACGAATAGTTTTTTATTTACTATGGATTAAAATGAGTATCGTAAAATTTGATGAGGATCAAAAAGAGTATTTATTCTCTTTTTTATTTGGGATGAATTCAAAAAAGGAAACGAAAACAGTTAGTTGGGAGCCGGTTAATTTTAATTCACTGTTATTATCAAACACTTTTAACCTATCGCGGAATAATTTGATAAAACACATGATTACACTAGTGTTACGGTGATTACATATATAACCCACATTTTCATAGATGAACTGTTGGTATGTTTAACTGGTTCATAAGTTCTGAATAAGAGCTTTGCACTCTCCAAGTGCACATTTTTAATGTGCTTTTAGTGGTCACCACCACCGATCTCTAAGGAGTGTTTGATAAGGGAGAAAAAAAAAATTTAGGAAAAATAATTATTACCAGGATGTAGCGAGAAATATTTTACTGGAATATTATTAAAAAGCTGTTTGGTAGACTTATATTTTTCCAAAAAAATTAAAATTATTTTACTGAGTTTGTATTTGATTGGTTATGAAATATTAATGGGAATGTGAGATTATTTTACCAAAATAACCTCACCTTTACCTTTTGATTCAAAAATTCTAACCTTGTTCACGAGACAAAATGAAAGTCAATTTTATCTTTTTTGGAAATTACAGGGAATCGAACCGCACACCTAATACACGTTAAACACACCCAAAACCACTAGGCTATCCCTATTGGTGCAAAGTTAATTTTGTCTTTAATTTCACGCTTAATTTTTGGTTCTCCGATAGTGAAAAAATTCACCTATTTTATGGATATCATATTTGTCATACATTATGAAATTTATCACACACAAACATTTTTCCGTAAACAAATTTAGTCTGACAAGTCATTAGATTTGAGCAACCAAACATTGCTAACATTTTTCTCTTACCTGACTTTTCCGGTCATTCAAAAATAAATCGCCTAACAAACGCGCCCTAAAAGGATTCTCTTATATTTACAAACTACTAATGAGTCATTTTTAATAGGAAAATTTCTGATTAAGCCTTTTAAGCACAATTAAAAAAATCTGACTGCGACATTTGAGATTTTTAACAAGTCATTTAACCCTGATAAATAAATAAAATAGAATACACTATCCTTGCTATTATATTTTTTCTATGAGAAAATAAAAAATAAATAGTTTGAGTAAAATTTATCATTTATTTATATATTTTTCCAGTTGAAATTATGCTAATTAACTCAGCTATTGAAGTCATTTTTGCAGTTGAAAGAATCTTGAATCAAAAGTCACATTCATTCGTTGAAGGCATAAAGTGATTAGTCCCCCTTTCTTCTAAGATTTCTTGGATTCATTATTTCTAGTCAAAAGTAAAATAAAACTAACGATATTTCATTAAAATATTAATATTTTACCCTCATCAAGGCGAGGAAATTTATGGTCAGTGACTCTATATCATAAGAGGATTAGTCTCATCGAAATAGATAAATACACTTTTACGAAATCAAAAAAAAAAAAATTGTCATGACTCATGAGTAAGTATATATTAAAGTTTAAAATATAAATAAAAATTCATCTCGTACATATACACAAAAGTGTACGAAGTTCATATTTTTTCTTTCTTTTTCTTCTTTTCATATGGGCCCACACACTTTTATGTATATATAGAAAATAAATTTATCTCCTATAACATGAGAAACAATAAATCCTTAAATAAAAAGGTTAATAATATAATTTATGGCTTCAATGTTTCTAAAGTAAATATAGATAAGTTATTTATATTTACTCCCAAAATAATATTATTTTGAGTTGAAAAATTAAATAATTATGATAAGAAATACTATTATAACCCTGAAATAGATCATAATTATAAAAATATCTTGATTTTCGTCTAAAAATTACGTTATTTTAAGCTCAATATAAATAATTTATTTAGATTGACTGCAAAAAAATGAACTCGTAATTTATTATAAGTAACTATCAAAAGTTTATTTAAATATTATTTTTATTTAAAATATTTAATAAAAACATAAAATGCGTCAAGTCTGGATTTTACTATTCTTATAAACAAGGTAGTGAAATATATTCCAAAATAAATTGAAGCAATACCCTATACTTCATGGAAACTCAACTTGAATTCGCCCCAATAATGAAATAAATTATTCATTTATAAAATGGCCTATTTGATTTTAATCTTGTTTTCTTTGTTTTAGGAAATTATATGTTAAAATGATTTTAGATAATAAAACATAAAAAACATTATTTGATAAAAAAAAATTATGCTTGAATACGTGTTTTGGCAAAAATAATAGTAAACAAAATTTTGAAAATAAAATAGAACAATAAAAAAAATATAAAAAACTGAATGTAATCAAATAAAATATAAACTTTAAAATTCAAATATACTTTTTCCATTTTTTAAATCAAAAAGAAATTTTAAAAAAATAAAGCATGCCTATAATATCAAAATAAAAAAGTAAGAACCAATAATCATTACTTTAAGGTGTTTGGTTGGGAGTTTTTCAGCGGATATCTATGTTTCTCAAGTATGGCTTTTAGAAACACCATGTTTGTTTCAACGTATTTTCACCAAAAACTCATCTATCCAATTTGTATGAATTTATGAGAAACATAGATATCCGCACTGTTTAGAAATCTAATTTGAAGGTGGGATTTTTCGGAAAATCGATTATATGGCTTTTAATGCACTGTTGATTTCATAAAGTTACCTAATTTTCTCAGTAAAGTTTTTCTCGACCAAACAACTTTTTTTTTATATTTTTCTACCTATCTCACTTTATCTATTTTTTCAATCATTTCTCTATCTATTATATTTCCCTACTATTCTAAAAAAATTTCCTCAACCAAACACCACTCTTAGTGTCAAAAAAACAGTTGCACCAATATAATCCAACAATAATCAAATGGGATTAATTCAATTTGCATTAAAAATAAATAAATAGAAAGTGAGATGCATTGAAAATTGCAAGTACCTGAAGTGGTCCATGGAGCGTAAGACTTCTAAGAAAATGGGTCTCATGAGAATGATGGGACTAGACACCATTAATGACCTCAAGGATTCTTTATTTTTATTTTTTTCTGCTTTATATTAAACTTTGAAGCTGTTAATTTTGAAATTCTACCCACGCACAACAAAAACAATCATACCTCCAACAAGGAAATGAAATTTCGAATTTAAAAATATTGACCCAATACATTAAATAATTGTAATCATATTATAATAGACTAACTATAACTACAACCATTCATAGCTATGTGTTCATTCATTCGAATCAATTCATCACCCGTACAATATACAAATAATATAAACAATATAATAAATAGAAGTATATCAATAATAAAATAATAATAGCTTGAAAATATTAACTCATACAAGTAGATAAATCCATGTTAACACAAACCCTTAATAAGGCCTGGGCTGAATCAAGGTTATACTCAGCAAATTTAATTACAAGGGACAAGTATGTAGAGGGTACATATTTTATCCAGGTAAACTGTAGAGAATGCATTTTATTGTGCAGGGCCGAATCAAAATATAAATTTCACACAGTTTTATGTATCTGTAAAAGATAAATTTATGTGAGAAATAATAAACCTATAAATAAATAACCAAATGAACAAATCAGAGTAAAGTACAAAAGAACTTGGAAGACAGGGTGGTGTAGCTGAACAGATGATCCATTAGCAAATAGTAGCAGATAATTAAGAAAGGGATTTACATTGACAAGGTAATCTGGTAGGTGCTAAATGTTTATCACTGCAACATAAATGAAGGACAAAAGAAAACGATAAGGGAATATAACAAAAGACATTTGACATTGATGGTTGTTAGCATTCCAGATGATGATGGTCCCAAAATAGAAATATCCATAAAAATATTAGATAAGACTGGAGTTAACTGCTAACTGCTGCATCTGCAAATATTAAATAATTATCAATTACCGAGTTAATGAGAAATTCGATCATGTTCATATATCAACAATATTACATTTTTTCGAATATTCAACATAATATTTGAGAGTTTGATAAGCTTCGTTTCAATCCAAAACGTAAGAGGATCCATTTTCTTTAATTTTATGACATCTTTTTCCACCATGTAAAGGCCTTTTTCACATTAGGGAC